TTTCCCTACCATCATCACATACGGCTTCATTTCCCAAGCATGGATGTTGGTATTATCAATAATAACCGGGCTTTTCCCATTCTTCATTGCCTTGTGTGCTGTAATGTAACACATTAAGTAAAGCTAACATGTATTAAATAACAGACAGAGCCAGGTCTTACTAGCCCCAGAGCATCCTTTCTTTGCCCACTGCTAGCAGGCTTGGTTCCCCACCAGACTTGGGTTTGTGGCCACCACCCAACCGTGAGCAGAGGTCCGTGCCCTGAGGCAGGTACCCTCCTGGGGGAGTCGATGCAGCCACTGGCTGTGCTCAGCAGTAAGAGCTGAACCTCTCGTCAAACATAGCACTATCACAGCACTAGGTATTTACAACGGCCAAAACTGACTGTTACTTGCAAAAGCTGTCTGTTGTATGATCTCAAAGTGTTTTTCCCTTGCTAGAAATGAGTTGAGAATACAGCCATGAAATCATGTTACATTTTTCTCTCTGAAGTAGAGACCTGGGTTGTTTCGTTCTCAAACCTATAATTAGGTTTGCAAGTTTTCCTCCTGGCTCTCACTAACTGCCCCCGTAACACCCCCCGCCAAGTCAGGAAAGCCATCTAAGCAGCTACAGCGTGAAGGATGCGGAGCTGTAGCGAGCAGCTGCTGGGCTGGTATTTGCATGCCACCTGCTGTTACCAAGCTTCAGCAGTGCTACCCGATAGGCACTGGTTCACTATCTAAAGTAACATCTATCAATCAATCAATCACCAACGTTTTTTCATTTAGTATTTTTTTCTCTTATAAGATGTCAGAAGAAATAAAATCAGAAGTGGTAAATGTAACCAGTACCCCATGAACTTTAGTGTATGACACCACTTCCAGATATTTTATTTTGTGGGCTAAGTTTAAAGACAGACTGAAAAAAGAAACTATTCTGCAGAACCCCTGGATCGATTTCAGTCACCTCTATTTTGGTTCCATTTGTGTGCATCCTCTAGGAAGTCAGGCTCAAACACGTATACACCATTTTCGATAAAGAAGTCATCAGTACTAAGAACTACAGCACTGGGATAGTCACGTTTCAGTCGTCTGGAAAAAAAAAGATGAAAGAAGGATTAGTATATGCTAACGCATGCCTTTAATAGAGAACATTAAATCAAGAGCATATGAATGCTCTGCAAATAAGCACAGTGCTTCATTTTGAAAAATCCCAACTTAAAGGATGTGAATGTAATCAGCAGATGGACACAGGAGGAAAGGAATGGAGCTTAAAGACACGGCCTTGATTTCTTTAATTCAGCAGAGAAATCTACAATGGACTGCCAACATGAGTCTTTAATCATGTTAATACATTCAGTCTTCTTTCTAAGTTACCTGAGAAGGTAAGACTGTAAATACAAAAAAGAAAAAAAAACACACAAACAAACCCAAACCTGCTGGTCCCAGGGAAGTTAGTCTCAAAACACAATTTGATCATGGGAGTTTTGCTACAAAGAGATGTTTGAAGGTAACTAGGAGGAATGACTTGTCGTTTAGTAAAGATGATGTATATTATCATCAGCTTGTCTTGGTTTTTTTTTTGGCTACAAAGCACATAGCACTTTTTTTTTTTTAATTTCCAAACAAATATCTGAGTGATTAGTCAATATTTCCTGTTATTTGTCGCACTTTTACATTTCTTTCTGCTTTTCACTCTTCCCTGCTTTACTTAACCCTCCTCTTGTGGAGTTGAGTCATTTTTATTTACTTTCAGCTTTTAAATATGTTTTATAAACAAATCTGAATTGCCCAAATTGGCAGCCCCAAATGCAACAGATCCGTAAAACTGGTCCCCTGCGGTCTGCAGCAATCCCCCTTCTCTTCAGAGTGATGCGTGTCCCACAGCGATGCTCGTTCAGCCCCGGGATGCCCGTGGCGGGGGGGACGCGTGCCCCGCCGTAAGTTCAGCAGCTGCCTCGCAGGCAGTGACTGGCTCTAGGAGGTGAAAGTCCCAGCTTATGCAGTGGCTTAAATATGTAGCATTCCTCTGCCAGTCCTTCAAAAGCATTAAAAAAAAATCTTAATGCAAAATTGTGTTCCTATTTGTGTGTAATCCAGACTTCGTTGTGTCCACAGACTGAATTGTCTATTTTATTCAATCAAGGGATTGTTGGGGGGGGCAGGGAGTCTCTGCAAGCAGTCAGGGAGAGCCCATGGCATCATCTCACTGCTCTCTGTCTCCCTAAGGCCCAAAATGTCACTGGAAAAGAAAGCAAGGCCAATCCAGAAACCGCGTGGCTCTCAGACATGGATGCTGCTGCCCTGCTATCTCACACCACACATGGTCTCCAGTCCCTGGGTCTCATTTCAGCTTCCCTGATAAAACGCTCCTCTTCCATCCCCATAAGCTGCAAAACAACTATTTCTCAATGTCTTATCTAATTGAGCAACAGCAAGGGAAAAGGTACCCCTAGGTTATCGGCAAAAACCAGACACACAGACAGAAAAGGCTTAATTCTGTCCTCTCTAGCTCTGCCCTAACCATTTACTTACCGATTTTATCCTGATCTGCCTGCTAGCAGCAATTCTTCACCGGGATTGCATGTTGCATTTAGCTGAATAAAGGTCAGCTTCTGGCTTTGTTCCACCTCCACTGTAACTTCTATCATCTGCTGATTAATATTAATTTGTGGCAGCAACCAGCACAGAGAGCAGAGACTCGCAGCTGACAGGCTGGCCGGGGCTGCCTTCACAGGGCTGGGCCCCAGCCACTAAATGACTATCATTCACCACCTAAATGTAGTTATCTCCTAGCTCCAAAGAGATGTTTTATTCACATAATTACTGCTGGGCAAACAGATCTAACAAAAGTCATGTTGCAAACTGTTAGCAAACAGTCAAATCATTTTTGCTTTAATTTTGGGCCAAGAGTTCTTATCATGAAAAGCATGGGAGCACCTAATGCTTATCTGGTTACTCCTGTGCTGATAAAATGATATATTCAGCTCTCTCTATAATTCAGCACCTCACCTTTCCCACTGCTTTACCCATCTGCATTGCAATCTCTTCAACTGACTCTGCTAAAACATGTCATCCCTTTAACTACTAATATGCACATAAAATCGTACATAATAATGGAAGATCTCAAGATTTTTTTTCCTTGCTCAATCATAGAATCATAGAATCGTCAAGGTTGGAAAAGACCCTTAAGATCCTAGAGTCCAACTGTTACCCTAGCACTGCCAAGTCCACCACTAAACCATGTCCTCAAGCACCACGTCTACCCGTCTTTTAAATACCTCCAGGGATGGAGACTCAACCGCTTCCCTGAGCAGCCTGGTCCAGTGCCTGACTACCCTTTCGGTGAAGTTTTTCCTAATATCCAACCTAAACCTCCCCTGGCGCAGCTTGAGGCCGTTTCCTCTCGTCCTATCGCTTGTTACTAGGGAGAAGAGACTGACCCCCACCTCGCTACAACCTCCTTTCAGGTAGTTGTAGAGAGCAATAAGGTCTCCCCTCAGCCTCCTCTTCTCCAGACTAAACAACCCCAGCCCCCTCAGCCACTCCTCATAAGTCTTTGTTGCCCTTCTTTGAACACACTCTAGTACCTCGATGTCCTTCTTGTAGTGAGGGGCCCAATCCAGGATGCCATTGGCCCTCTTGGCCACCTGAGCACACTGCTGGCTCATGTTCAGGCAGCTGTCAACCAACACCCCCAGGTCCTTTTCAGCCAGGCAGCTCTCCAGCCACTCCAATGTTTCCTTTAAAAATGTTCTCAATCAGTGCAAATCTTCAAAATTATTTTCTTAGCATATACCTTACTAAATTTTTAACACATACATGCAGACTTGCATGAGAGCTTTCATATTAACCCTTTAAGCAACCTAAATAGTATGTGATTACCTGGAAACTCTGTCTACTATCTGCATATCACTGGTAATTAAAACTAAAGCTAAAACTTGTGCTTCAAAGGAGGAAAAATATGGCACAGAATGTGCTAAGAACTATGAATTACTGTCACGTTTGCTATATTCATACTAAACAAACTCCTACCAACAGCAACATATGAAAACATTAAGTGGGCAAAAGAAGACGTTTTACCTTCTGCTTATTTTGCTGTTTTTAACTTTTAGCGTTCTAAAACAACCAAGCCGACACTAAAGTTTACGACCATTTTCTGTAATCCCCCATTGCCCACGAAGCTGACAAAAATCCTGTTTCTTCTGTCCCTTATAATTTCAAAGGGCACCCAAACCTCTTTAGTATGTATGTTCCTTGAGAAATAAGCCTTCTACGAGCTACACAGGACCACAAGTTGGTTTAGAAGAAAGTTTTTACATAATCACATCAGGCTCCTAATCGCCATACGCAACAAAAATGCCTATATTTTAGCACAATATACACCAGCTATGCAAAATGGGAGGACTTGTGACCAGTGTCGTTAATAAATTTTGAGCAGCACTGTAAAAAGAAAATTACCCATCGCTGTTAGATCAGTAAGTGTAAAGCATACTAAGGAGGAAAAGAAAAATGAAATCTCTTTGCAAGATTGAAGGGTACACGTGAGCTATTGTTGCATTCTTAAAAGAAAAAGCCACTGAACGTGAAGCACTGCCTTGTGATAAGCAGTAGCTGCCAAAGGTTCAGTATTAATTTGCCTACTTGGGACATTTAATTGCACAGCGTTACAGCTCTCTATCTTGCAGGAGATACAAACTACGGTATGCTCTATAGCTTGCTAAAGAAAAGCTTGAGGCTGTTTCAGAAAATAGGAAGGGTAAGAAAATAAGAAGAGAAAGGGGGATGTTTCCTCTGCTTGCAATAAATCTCCCCAAACCCTTTTTTCCCCCATTCCCCAAGGTGAAGCAGATTTCCACCCTAGATACCGTATCTCATTAGACTGGCTGATACAGTTGGGGGGAAAAAAAGCTTTCAGATGCTTCTGCTCTTCTTCAGATCCGACACAACAGCAGCAAACTTCATGTGTCCACCGGCAGGGCCTGATAAAGCGCCCAGAAACGCCAGGCTGGGCAGAGGACAAGCGTCGCTGTCTGCCCACACCAACCCCGCTGGCAGCCGGGGGAGCAAGGATGCTTCTGAACAACGAGGCGCCTTGGCTAGCGTTGGTGCACGCTCATCTGCTGTCTCACCCCGTCAGCTTTAGGATGGCTGCCGTGATGAAAAAAGGAGAATCTTTCTGTTGAAAATACAGCTGTGTTTCTGTTTGACCACAGCAGCACTGCAACAACTGCCTCAGTGAACAGATAGGTGGTTTTAAGGTCTTCTGCGTTAGTCATCTGAAGATCTGTTCCCATGAGTTGTACAGTTTTTGAAGTCCCCTTCTTTCTAAATAGTATCTTCAGTGCTTTCAAACAATCATTGCAGATTTTAACTGTATATATAGACAACAGAATAATTATTCAGGATTTCAACTACCAGGATGCATTAGAGTACTTGGGAGAAGTCTCCGTGACCACTAGTAGTATCATTGGAGATAAAAAAAATCCATAACTATATTTCATAGGCTGTCATGTTTTTCCATCAGAAAATCTGAAAGTAAATGAATTTCTGATACTGATCCCAGTAAGCAGATTGGAAGGAACATTTTCAGCGCTCAGAAGCTAACCGAACGGTATGTCAGGCAGATCTCGGAGCCAGTAAATTCTCAAGCTACATCCAATGCAATGGAGATCAGAACATGTACGTACTGACACCACATACAGCCACTTGCTCTGGTCACCCTTCCTAAAACAAAGCGTTCCCGTGGCATTTAAAAGCCTTCAGTTTCTGCAAAAAATCAGAACTATGAGATCTGGAGCACATGCCCAGTGTTATCAGTTGCCTGGTGTGTTTTAACAACTTCTAGTGCCCTGAGGACTTTGCCCCAGCGGGAGCCTGCCAGCCGATCACGGTGCTGTTGGCAGAGCACGTACCTGCCTTTGTGTCTCACCCGCGGGGCTCAGAGCAGTGGCTGGATTTTGTAAAGCAACAGGCTGCCTGTAATATTTGATAAACACATTCGGGAGAATCACCTGAAGCGGTTTTATACAAAGGTAAATGTTTACAATGCCTTGCCGCCTGGAAGCAGGAGCTGCAGAGCTGACGTCCACGACCCCGTCAGAGCTGCAATTCTGCAGCAGGGTCGGGGTGCTGGTAACAGCGGTGGGGCTGGCCCGGGGCTGGTGGTGCCAGGAGGAACTGGGCAAAAGCAGCAGAGAGACCAGGAGAAGGTACGGATTGCGCCAAGCAGCGATGCCTCAGTGCCAATGCATTTTTTCCTTCCTGTTCTGGAAGATTGCTCCCTCTGTGCGCACAAGAACAAACTCATTTCAAGCAATAAATCAACAGCAGTGGCTGAAAAGTTGCGTGTTTGATCATGCCCAGCCTAGTGCTTGAGCAAAGCTCCTAGAGAGAGAGGGTTACATGTTACATGAGTTGTGCATCATTGCAATATATTGTAGAAGAGCTGGAAATACAGCTACTGTGCAATAAAGAGTCTGTTGGGGAAGCAGGTATGAGCTTGTAGGCGGCTCATTTGATTTTTTGGAGACATTTTTGGAAGCTATACCTGCTACTGCACCTCAGATAACTGTTTTCATAGCAGTTGCCCAGGTCTGACCATGAAATCTGTACTCTGAAGTCGGGGGGAATGCGTTCAGGAGGAGGGTGCCACACACCTGATGGAGGCTATTAGAGATGCAGCTCCCAGCTATCCCTCTCCTACGTGCTTCTGCTGGTGGTGAGGTACGGTGAACAGTTAGAGGGAGATGGTTAGGGTCGCCTAAATACGTGGTGCAGGGAACCATATTCTCAACAGTGATGGAATTGGAAAGGTTTGGAGCTTGGTGGTGAGCAGACCAACTCCTCGTTCTGCCTTGGCTATTCAATATATCACAAGTGAGTCCTTCGCTGTCTTTACCAGAAACCACAAACCAGACCTGAACCGAACCATACCAATGTCGTGCTGCTCTGAGCTGGGGGAGCAACCGGGATGAAGAAATCATTTTAACGATGATGCCATAACTAAATCTTACAAAGCTGTGTCCAGACTGTGCTAGGTGACACTGAAAGGTCACAGAAATGAGTAATGGATCCGAGGTTGTTCCTAGGATTGTGTGACGAACCGAAAAGGGGCCTTTCTGCTGGAGTTATCAGCGAGTTGCCATGTCACCAGTGATAACATTCACAGTTCGTGACACTTCTGAGCACTGCAAAGATGTACAAGTTGTAACAGAAATACTGGCGGATAAAGAATGAATGAGTGGAGACGTGTGTGTGAAAGCACCAGAAGAAACAGCAGAGCAAAGTCTAAAACAATGGTACATACGGACAACGAAGAACTTCGTTAACAGCAATAAAACTGGGAAAGGTGCTGTTTACACCAAAGGCCAGCACTCAG